TCTGTTTTGTTTTCGTTTTTTTCTTAGTTGAAATTCTTTGCATGTTTTACTATATAACTTGTGTTCTCCCAAGATAAAAAAAAAAAAGTGACAGTATCCATCAAGGTCAGCAATAAACTTAGTAAGTTGGAGGCGTGTGCTGTTTGAAGAATCACAGCATTTTATGCAAATGTCTAAATTTCTATGTTGAGTTTGCAATAGGAATGGGTAGTCTCACAGCCTCTGTATTTCTATAAACAAAAAAGAATAACAATCCACAACAACGCTATGTTTATCTGAAAACATTATACCTTACACGTTATACGTTTTTATTTTTTATTAGCAATGTTTGTGATCATCCCATCTCCTTTAACCCCTATTACAATCCTGGGAGGCGACAATGACTATTCCCACTTAGAAAACCAAGAACCTGAAGCTCGGATCGTTCATTTAGCTTGCCAAAGCCCACGCCACCGGGTCAGCAACGAAGTCAAAACCTCGCGCTGAAATGCGATGGCGTCTCCCCCACGAGGCCATAGCGCCAAAGCATAGAAAGCAGGAGGGAGAGGAGGCAGAAAGAGCACAGAGTATCTTCTTAGAGTGTGCGTGTGCACTCAGAATCCTAGTCGAAAAATACAAGTCATGAGTCCACGGTGACATGAAAATTAATTTGATTCCAGCTCAGGCGTATCAGAAAAAAAAAAGTCTAGATTCGGTTATTGTTACAGGTAGAATGCAGGCTATCAAACTATAATTCAAAGCCATCGCTATATTTAACCAGCCAGATTTTTTTATTTCCCAAGGCCATGATAAGGAAGATGACTGAAATTTAGCTTGCATATCTAAAAAGAAACTTTGTTAGCAAAGAAAAATGAGGAGGGCAGCTTATTCTGTTGCTACAGGAATCCATTCTTCATCCAAATGGAATGCAGGTGAGAACGGGCTTACGTGGCTTGCCTTCACCAGGAGTTTGATCTTATGCAAGTAAATTCCGTACCTTGCCAAGTGGCTTCTAAACCGGAGTGGTGCGTGAAGCTGATGCATATCAGAGCCTTTCTCATTTCGAGTTGATAATTTAAATGCTTACATTCCGACTTCTGTGTTAGCTTCCAGGGATTTTGAAAACGAAGCAAGTTTCTGTTCTCCATCAGGCTCGGGAGCCATGGGAATTAATGTGATGCCGTCTTGAATGAAACATAGCGGGGACATGCCATTCGTGCTTGTTCTCAACCCTTTCCTTCCCTTTAAGACACCATAAAATGAAAAATAACAACAGCTGTTTCATATTAAAGAGAAAGGCAAATGTGCACAAATGCAGCTCAAGAAATATTTCGCATGTTCGGAGAATTTATTATTTATGCGAATGGAATCAATCTACATTTCCCCCATTCAATAAAATGGCGTTGATTTCTATGGCTTTGCCAGTTGTTTAAACCAAAGCACAGAAGGGGACTATGCAGGGTCTCAGTGAAGTACAGACTTCTTTTTCCTGAAAGTGTAGAATAAACAACAACAACAACAAAATGTCTGATGCTATTTGCCCACCAAATCGCCACGTTCTCTTTGTATCTAGTTTAGCAGATTAACTAGTTTCAGCTGCGCATTAAATAATCTCATCAGAGGGGTCAATTGTTTAGGCTGAGATTTGTCAGAACTGTGTTCAAACCTAGCTACTCCTTATGCCAGCTTGGAAAAGGCCTCCCGGTGAGCAGTAATGCCTCCTTCATTATTATATTCCTTCTATTATCTACTTTGGATGCAGATATAAATTATTTAAAACAGGAGAGCTTCCCCTTGCTAATGAACTGCAGGCCGACTAACCAGCTCCCATCAGTGCCTAAGGCTCGCTTCCACGTACAATTCTCCAACCGGTGGAACAGCCCGCTTCCACGAGTCTGCTGGGCAATTTTAATCAGTCACTGTGCGTACCATGCAAACCCAACAGCTGTGCGTTTGGATGACCTTATTATCATTAGCGGCAAATTAGTTGTTGAGCAGGGAATTTTTCATCAGGAAAGACTACATGATTTTGTAGACTTGGGAATGGTCAGGTTCTATTTTTTTTTTTCAAATATAACGTACAGCCTATTAGGAAATGAGCACATTTGGAGCAAATCCACAATTTAATGAAGAGGGATGTATCTGAAGTTTCTTTCTGACACGTTTCCTATACTCCTTTATTCTCTTCCAGGGAATAAGAGAGTCACCATCTTTTAGAAATGTTCCCGGCGAATGAACAGGAGGAGTTCTCAGTGCCTTTGGCTTTTTGGCTTTGAAAGCATCAAAAGTTTGCCTCCTGGTGGTCAGGAAATCAGCAATTTCCTGAAATATTGGTGAAATCATTTAAATAACTGCCCCTAAAAGGAGATCTTGGGGTCCCAAGGATGAAACAAGTATGTTTTGGGGCAAAGATCACACCAAAAAGAGTCACAAAACCAGCTGGAAACACAATCAGTCACCTGAGGCTGTTTCAAGTCATTAAGGTCAGTGGACATTAATTGTACAGCCCTGGTATACAGCCCAGACAGCACTTTTATATCAAGCATCTTTTTTTTAATTAAATTTTTTTCAGCATATTAGGGGGGTTACATATATTGCCCTTGCCCCCTGCCCCCTCGAGTCAGAGCTTCAAGCGTGTCCATCCCCTAAACGTTGCACATCTCACTCGTTGTGTTTGTATACACCCGTCCCCTCCTCCCCCTCCCACCCGCCCGACACCCGATAGATTATTCCTATATGTCCACTTAGGTGTTGATCCGTTAATACCAATTTGCTGGTTAATACCAATTCACTTAGTAGAATGGGCTCCAGCTCTATCCAGGAAAATACAAGAGGTGCTAGATCACCGTTGTTTCTTAGATCTGAGTAGTACTCCATGGTGTATATATATATATATATATATATACACCACATTTTATTAATCCACTCATGGACTGATGGGCACTTGGGTTGTCCACACCTTTGCAATTGTGAACTGTGCTGCTATAAACATTCGAGTGCAGGTGTCTTTTTCATAAAGTGACTTTTGATCTTTGGGGTAGATGCCCAGTAGTGGGATTGCTGGATCCGATGGTAGATCCACTTGTATCGCTTTGAGGTATCTCCGTGTTGCTTTCCGCAGAGCCTGCACCAGTTTGCAGCCCCACCAGCATCTGAATACTGGGCAGGCCACAGCCAGCCCTTACTTCCCTGCGTCAGGATGGCCAGGACTGGCTGGTGCCTGGCGAGGGCCGGGCACCACTCTGAGTGCTCTCTCTACGCGCTGCCCTGTGCAACCTAGCAACCCCGTGGCAGCGACTGGCACTGGCACGCCCATTTCACAGACAAGGAAACGAGACACAGAGGGTGACCCAACTTCTCCAGGGCCACACAATCAGGAAGCGGCCGAGCCAGGACTTAAGTGCAGCCAGCGCCCTGGGCCACCAACACGCCCTTTGGCTTTGCCCCACGCCTGGCCTGGGCTGGGGTTGTCTCACAGCCGCGTGTGTGTGTGCGTGTAGGGTTTCCTTTGCACTCGGGATGCAGCCATCAGTAATGATCTCCCCGGGAACATAAAGTCAGCACCCCCAAAAAGGACCCCCCAAGCCCTAGCCGGGCAGTTCCTCATCCTCATCTACCCCAACGGCAGGTGCCACCAACGCCTTAGGTCGGACTCTTCTCAAACGCTCAACTCGGAAACGTCCCTCTGTCCCACACCTGCCGCCTTCTGCCCGTCCCGCCCTCACTGCTCCGCGCGCTCTCAGGCACCACGGCCTCCTTTTCAGTGAGGCCAACCCGGTCCCGCCTGGAGCTCTCCTCCCGGCCCCCAGCCTGCGTTCCTGCCCTCCCAGCAGTCCTCCCCCCACCCGCGCCTGAACCCCTCCACTTCCCGCACACGGATGCTGCTCCCGGGCCTGCGCTCTTCCCGCTGTTTTTTCCAGGGGCTCCGTCCTGGGATAAGGACAAAAGTCTCCAGTTCCAGACTCCCAGGCACATCAAGGTCTCCCTCTGCCCGCTCACCTCCCACCGCCGCGGCCCCTGGGACTCGGGATTCCCGCCACGCATGGCTCTAAAAGCGTCCCCTTCTGCCCTCGAAAGTAGCAGCAAGACCTGGTGATTTCTGGGATGGAGGATTTGGGGGAGGAGGAGGAAGAAGGGTAGGATGGGAGTGGAGGCTCCCATAGAAGATGACCTTAAGGCTGGCGCGGTGGCTCACACCTGTAACCCTAGCTCCCTGGGAGGCTGAGGCAGGAGGATCGCTTGAGCTCAGGAGTTTGAGACCACCCTGAGCAAGAGCGAGACCCCGTCTCTACTAAAAAAAAAAAATAGAAAGAAATTAATTGGCCAACTAAAAATATATAGAGCTGGGCTCGGTGGCTCACGCCTGTAATCCTAGCACTCTGGAAGGCCAAGGTGGGAGGATTGCTCAAGGTCAGGAGTTCAAGACCAGCCTGAGCAAGAGCGAGACCCCGTCTCTACTATAAATAGAAAGAAATTGATTGGCCAACTAAAAATATATAGGAAAAATGAGCCGGGCATGGTGGCGCATGCCTGTAGTCCCAGCTACTTGGGAGGCTGAGGCAGGAGGATCGCTTGAGCCCAGGAGATTGAGGTTGCTGTGGGCGAGGCTGACGCCACGGACTCACTCTAGCCTGGGTGACAGAGTGAGACTCTGTCTCAAAAAAAATAAAAAAGAAGATGACCTTAGAGTTGTTTACTGTGAGCACCTGGGAAGATGAGGGTGCCATTATACTGAAGGACAGACATCACTGAGGAGGGGAGGAGGCAGGAAAGGGTCAGACAAGGTCTTCTCAGACCAGGGACGCCACAGGAAAGCATCGTGAAAACAGTAGCGATCACAATTAAACATAGATGTCCCCAACAACAACGTCAGTTTCACTATGGTTACGTGCCAATAATTAGACGTGAACGGTGGTTTCTAGGGATTCCAAAAGCAAATGAATTTAAGACTATTTTAGAATATAACTGCTATTCAGATAGCTGATAAGATAAAAAAAAAAAGAAAAAACAACAGAACTTACCTATCTAGCTGCAAGCTACTTAGAGACATGGCAAATGCTCTTGACCAAAATAAATGCAAAAGTAGATGCATTAACTTCGTGATCTCATTTCATTTCACTGATAATTTATGAGATGTACTTGCAAACACTTGTCACGTTACACTGATTGGACGTTAAAGCTTGACGCTGATCAGATGTTACAACTTGTTGCCGATTGGATGTTAAAGCTTGATGCCGATTGGATGTTAAAGCTTGTTGCTGATTGGATGTTAAAGCTTGTTGCTGATTGGATGTTAAAGCTTGATGCCAATTGGATGTTAAAGCTTGTTGCCGATTGGATATTAAAGCTTGTTGCCAATTGGATGTTAAAGCTTGATGCTGATTGGATGTTAAAGCTTGTTGCCAATTGGATGTTAAAGCTTGTTGCCGATTGGATGTTAAAGCTTGTTGCTGATTGGATGTTAAAGCTTGATGCCAATTGGATGTTAAAGCTTGTTGCCGATTGGATGTTAAAGCTTGTTGCCAATTGGATGTTAAAGCTTGATGCTGACTGGATGCTAAAGCTTGTTGTTGATTGGATGTTTAAGCTTGTTGTTGATTGGACGCTTTTTGAGTCCCCCAAGGGTATAAAAGCAGGAGGAGAACAAGGAAGGGGGGTCAGAAGTCGGGGAGCCTGCTGGAGGAGTAAAGACCGTTCTCCGACTCTCTGTGTGTGGCCCGGTTCTTTCCCGGTCAAGAGCTGTTGCCCCGGCTGATCCACAAGAGCTGTGACACTAGCTGTGCACTTGCCATAACGTTTGGGAAACATAAGGCAGCCAGGGAGGCGGACGCATGGCCGAAGGTGGGAGAGGGAAAGGATGGAAGAGGAAGGCAGAGGAGGCCAGATTATGCAAAGTCTTGCAGGTAAGGATTTGGATCTTACTCTAAGCGGAGGGTGTTCCATAGCTTGATGTGGAGAAGGAATGATGGGGAGAGGCGAGGAGACTGCCGGCCACACAGGGGAGAGAAGAGGCCACCTGGGCCAGGGTGGTAAAAGTGGGGGAGGAGGGAGGATAACGCATGTGAGATGTCCTCGGGGTCGGCCGGACCCCTGATGAGCTGGTGGGGAGAGGAGGCCAGAGCAAAGGGGAATGAGGGTACTTGGGGGTTTCGTTGTGAGAACGTTACGGGGTGGGTTGGCGTTGACTGGCTCTGGCTCTTATAAATGCTGCTTCTCCGGTCAGACCAGTAGATGGTGACGTGTGATCTGGCTTACCAGGCTGTGATTCACAGGGGCGCCTTTGTTGCGGGAGGACACCAAATTTGTGAGTCCGTGTTGTTATCCCAGCGTCGAGGAAGTGCCTGCCTTGGCCGTCATCCTGCCCGATGCAACTCTGCCACACCGACTTATCAACGAAAGCCTGCTGCTCCTCGCTTCCTCCTCCTGCCTCTTAACCACCCGTGTGGGCGCTTGGCTAGCCCTCACTTGCTTTCCAGACAGACCTCTCTGGACCCATCTGGTCCTCAGACAGTCTTTTTCCTGGCACACTGCATCTCTTTGCGGTGCTCCTAATAAGGATTTGCTACTTGGATCTGAACCTCTGCCTGCTCGCTGAAATGCATTTCAAAGCAGCTGAACTAGATAACTAACCCCCCTTCCCAAGGGGTGATAAACTTAGGTTTCTGTCTTTATTCCTCTTATCTTCTCATTCTGCATACTTTCTATAAGTGATCACATTGCTTCATTCTTTCCACAAATACTCACTTAGCACTGTTTACATGCCAGGACAATGACCGTAAAAGCTAGCATCCACACAGTGCTTTCTGTGTGTGTGCGCCAGGCATTGGTTGAATCTTGAAGATGATCCCGTAAGCTAGGTGCCGCTGTTGTTTCCATGTTAGAGATGAGGAAAGAGAAGGTTCACACATATTAAGGAATTGGTCCAAGCTGCACAGCTGGTACCTGGTAGAGCCAGAATTCAAACCCAGATAATGGGATTCCAGTGTCTATGTGTCATCACAACCACCCTGCATTTCCTCGTCAGTTTGATGGCGTATCTAAATTACAGATCAGATATTCAGTTTCTTGCTGGATATCTTTATTTGGATGATCTATAGCAGGCGTCCTCAAACTACGGCCCAAGGGCCACATGCTACCCACCTGGGTCATGTATCCGGCCTGCCGGGTGTTTTTGCCGCCGCTGCCTGTCCTACTTAGCAGCCAACTTGTCCCGGGCCCACAGTGCACACTCTCCACGGTCTGAGGGACAGTGGACTGGCCCCCTGTTTAAAAAGTCTGAGGACCCCTGGCCTAGAGGGTCCTAAAACTCAAAGTACTTACCAATGAACATATCTTTCTCCCCATAGGCCCACTTCCTTCTCATAAACCTCAGTGAAGGGTATTAGCGTCCACCCGATTGCCCAAGCTACAAATCTTGACATCCTTCTTTGACTTGGCCCCGGCAACTCCCACCCCCAACCAGCATCTGGATTGTTTATACTGTCCTGTTTCTTTTCCCTCTTGAGTGTGTTCCCTTCTCTATCCACACTCTTTTTAACCTCCTCCCAGCCATCACCCTTTGTTGCCTGACTTCACTGCAGTAGTCTCCAGGTGGTCCCTGCCGATCGAGAGGGTCCGTACCTGAGCTGAGAAAGACAGGGAGGCCGTGGCCAGAAGCTATGTGAAGAACAATGCTGTGATTGATCGGTGACATCTGTCATGGGGACAATGGGCAAGGGGTGGCAGAGGTACCAGGACATGCCAGCCTTGCCCTAGCATTTTCACACTACACCTAGCACATAGAGGGCGCATAATACATGACGTCGAAGGAAAGCAAACACTACTATTGTCTTCTTGTCCCTCCAGCCCTAAATAGAACATTCTGGACTACCATGTTTCCCCGAAAATAAGACCCACCCCTAAGATAAGCCCCAGCAGGATTTCTAAGCATTTGTGCAATAGAAGCCCTACCCCGAAAATAAGCCCTAGTGCTGGGCGTGGCTATGAATAAACTCCTAGTGGTGGTGGGCGTGGCTATGAAAATAAGCCCTAGTGCTGGGCGTGGCTATGAAAATAAGCCCTAGTGCTGGGCGTGGCTATGAATAAACTCCTAGTGGTGGTGGGCGTGGCTATGAAAATAAGCCCTAGTGATGGGCGTGGCTATGAAAATAAGCCCTAGTGCTGGGCGTGGCTACGCAGCGCATCTGCACAACCCATGCGTGACGTCGGGAAGTGGGAAAGAACACGAGCAGCCCTTCTCATCTGCCCCACGAGAGCTCTAGTGCTCGACAGGAGAGATCAGGGCCAGTGATTCTAAAGGAAATACCGTCGCAAGATGTTCAGGATGGGATTCGGGGTTTGGAGAGTGATGATGATGGTCCAGAAGAAGACGACTTAACTCTATTTGAATCAATGTGGATGGTTGTACCGTACTTAACAAAAATGACACATCCCCTGAAAATAAGCCCTGGGGTGTCTTCTTGAGGAAAAATAAATATAAGACCCTGTCTTATTTTGGGGGAATTACGGTACATATAGTTAGTCAACAGTTGGGTGTTGGACGTGCCCTTTGTTGCTAATGATGATAGATAATTTCTACCAATTCCGTCTAATTGAACATTTTTTTGAAACTGCGTCTTATCCCTTCCCATGGCCTGTTAATTCATACTGAGTCTGTCGAGTTTCTTTCTCATCCCTCCCTATCACCCTCCCCTACCCCATGAACTACCCTCTGCCTTCTCCTGGTTTCAGGAGCTTGATCGTTTTAGATTCTGACAATCTTCCCATGGAACTTCCACATAACCATTTTATTATATGCCCTCAATAACAACGCTGTTCTACTTGTCGCGGGAACACACGACACACGGGAAGAACCAGGGATGTGTAGAAACCCCAGCCTTTCGGTGCTTTGGTTTATGTATGGCTGGAGACCTTGATCTTGACCTTGACCTGAAGACTCATGTCTTCCTGGCACTGACCTCTTTAATTATGTTCTTGCTTTTTTAATGGTGTTTCCTTCTGCGTCATCGTCAGTGCACTCCCTAAACATGCCAGCTATTTCCCTTGCCTGTGATGAATGTGGCATGTTTGGCTGCCTGCTTTGTTTTCACTTCTCAGGCCACGCAAGCTTTTACATGTTAAATTGCTTGGTGGATATGAAAACGATGTTATTTGTATTCTATGTCCTTCTTCTTGACACTTGCAATCAACAAGCACGAGTCACTAATTCTCATTTAATTTATAAAGGTTGCAATGGTTTGCTGGGCTGCCGCCTCCCAAAAGATTCAAGGAGCTTACTAATAATAACACAGAACTGCTGAACCATAGCATCTATTGGTCTTTAAAACTAAAGACATTTTAACATTTGCAGGACTCCAGTCTGCTGCAATTAATTCTGATCAGACGTCCGCAGTCCAGAGTTTATTACCAGCTAGAGAGTGTTAGAAAGCTTACTGGCCATTTTGAAGGTGAATCTTTACAAATGCATTCCGTTGTTGCCAAATAATTAAGAGTTAACATTCAAGTTTATGTAAATGATTGGGATTGGATAGGAAAAAGCATTTCAGCAATTAGTCCGCTTCTTTTTTGCTGTTCTGGCTTTTCTTTTGCAATAGAAACCCAACCTGCTAGTATAATTCGTACACGTCAACTAACATACGTGTTCTTGTGCTATAACTAACTCAGCTGGCAGAAAGGGAGCCCTGCAGACATTAGGGAGAAGAGAACACATAACCAAAGAATTAAATGCGCCCAAATCTCTCCCTAGCCAAGACACTAGCATCATCCGTGGACCTCATCATCCGTTGAGTCCTAGAGTTCACAGACAAGGTCTTCCCACTAAAGTTCCAGGGGCAGGAGGAGCCCAGAGACGCCGGGAACGTAGGGTCCAAGGGCTAAGTGATGAAAACCAGACGAGAGTCTGCAGTGGCCCACACCGTGCCAGACAGGGCAGGCACATGCAAGGAAGCCACTGGATATTTACATCAGGGCAACGGATGTGATCGTCTTTAGGAATTCCCATAAAGGGTTATCGGGCCAGTTACGAGGTGGGTGGGAAGAGAGCCAAGGACACAGAATTCACAAAATGCCACAGGGAATGGCCGGACCTACTGGATGCAAGGAACCTTCGTAGCTGAAGTGGCATCTATAAAGGTGACACTGATGCCACCGTGGCTGAAGAAGAGGACCACACGGGGCAACCGGAAGCACGT